AAAAGATTGGAAGTTTAAATCTGCCCCACAGTTCTATGGGAGAAAGGCAATTTGCTTCCGTAAAGATTGTTGTTAAGTGCCGTGAAGTCGGTTCCGACTCATAGTGACCCTGCACAGGGTTTCCGAGGCTGTAAATCTTTACGGGAGCAGAAAGCCTCATCTTTCTTCCATGGAACCGCTGGTAGTTTCGAACTGCTGACCTTGCACTTTCCAGCCCGATTCGTAACCACCAAGCTACCAGAGCTCCTTTCCGTAAAGATTACAGCCAAGGAAAACCTGTGGAGCAGTTCTATTCTCTGTGCTTTCAGATCGACTTACCGGCAGTATGTTTAGTTTTTTGTTTTAGGTGCCCAGAAGGTTGTTTCCCTGGCTACAGGCCTAGAGGACTGACCAGGACGAGACTGGGACTTACAGCATTATCCTGGGGATAATGTTCCCTTCTAGGATGTGTAGCCTTTCTTTTAGCTGATGAGTAGAATTACCTAGGTTACTGAGAAAGTGATCAATGGGAGTCCAGAATCATTTGTCTTAATCCTGCAAGGACAGCGGCAAAGTCCCTCCCCATGTCTGGTCCTCATACTCTGATGGAGAAAGCTAGAGTGCAGGGTGAAATTAGCGATGCCCCGATGTTCAATGAAGGTCAGGTGGGTACACAGAAATACACCTCTTTTTCTTTTTTCATTGTCAAGACATTGAAAACAAAAAATATTCTGTACTTTTATAAGAGAAACAAAATGCCAACACCATGTTGTTACCTGCCATCAGGTTGGCCCTTGACTCATGGCAACCCCACACATAATAGAATAAGTCGCTGAGCAGTCTTGTACCATCCCCGTGAGGGACTGTGGATTAGACCCTTGTGCTCTACAAGGTTTTCATTGGCTTAATTTTGGAAATAGATCACCAGACCTCTCTTCCTAGTCTTAGTCTGGAAACCTATTCAGCTTCATCGCAGCATGTTAGCCTCCACTGACAGGTGGTTGGTTGTGCAATGATTGTAGTCTAAAGGACCCTGTTTTCTATAAAGGAAGGGTAGTTTTTAAGTGGAATACAGTTAACTGTAAGGAAAAGTCACTGTTTTATTTTTACTGGTTTTTTTTTTTTGCTGCCGTAACAGATTTTCACAAATGTGTTGTTGTGTAGGATGCCACTGAGTTGACTCATGATGACCCCATGTGACAGAGAGCTGTCCCATAGAGTTTCCTAGGTTGCCATCTTTAGAAGAGCAGATCTCCAGTTCTTTCCCACACTTCATAAATGGAGATGCTTAGAACAAACCCCATTTATCACCTTACAGCCTTGTGGGTTATAAGATCAGGCTCAGTGTGACTCAATTGGGCCGTCTGCACAAGGCCTCACAGGACTGGAACCGGTGCCAGCTCAGCTTGCCTCTTCTCTGGAGGCTCTGGATAGAAGATTCCAATTCCAGATTCATTCAGGAGACTGAGAGAAGTCAGTTCACTCTGATTGTAGGATTGAATTATCTATTTCCTTGAAGCTAACAAAGGCTCATCCAATCCTCCTAAGGCTTGAAATCTCCGACTTCCCCTTCTGTTACCATCTGAAGAAAGATCTAAGTTTCTGAGGACTTTCAAGATTACATTGGGCCCACTGGAATATTCCAGGACTAACTCCTTATATTGACTCTTTCATGACCAAAGTGTTTTCTGCTTTGAAATTTTTATTGAGACAATGTATTTTCAGTAATGGAAGGCATGCTGAAATCAAGGAAAAAATACTTTTTGAGATAATATGGATTTTGATACAATTATATGGAACACATGTCCCAAGTGAATTCTGGTGGTAGGATTGATTGGTAGAGAAGATTCACTCAGTTATACAGGTCCCAGCCAGATGGTGGCCCGTACTACAACTGGGATCATAGCTTCCCAAGAAACCTGAGAATCTGAAAATGTTGGTGGGCATTATATGTTCCAGGGGTCACAAAAGGGTTAAAGTCAGATGATGAGTAACCGTAATTACATCTTCAAAATCTCTTTTGGGAATATTGGAATGGCTGCTTTCTAAAACTCCTCTAGCTCAAATACTGCTTGTCAAATTTTGACTTGTCATACTCAAAAGTTCTACATTCGTCAGAAACCCGGCCACCATTACTGACACAGTCTACTACACATACTAGGTATTTGAGAAATGTTTGGTGAACAAACCAATACTAAGAAGTTCATTGTTATGAATATAATTTGAATGCTACTTTGCTTCTAAATCTTGTGATACTGTATTATCATTGTCAATAACCATACATTAGAAAATAAGTTAACATCATTACAGGAATGTATTAAGTCAGGAAATGATTCAGTAAGTCATGGTAGAAACAAACATGACCTGTTCTGGTCTGCCTTCTTGTACTCCGTCCTGTGTGGGAAGTATTGCTTTCTATCAAGGAACCTGGATAAGTAATACAGTCCCAAGAAACAGTAAGAACCGTCTTTCCTCCCTGACCCGTTCCTGTATGTTCTTTCTTCTTTCCTCCCTCCTTCCCTCTTTCTCTCCCTCCCTCCCTCCCTTTTTCTCTCTTTTCTTCCCTTCCCTTCCTTTCTTCCTCCCCTTCCCTCTCTCCGTCTTTCTATCTATACCTCCCTCCCTTCTTTTTTTTAATCCACCTTTCGCTCCCCCCCCCCCTTTCTTCCATGGCAAAAATATAACCTTGGCCAATTTCTAAATTAAAAGAATTTTTAAATTGACTTCATCCCCACACATCTACAAGATACAACACAAATTCCTCAACCTGGTACTTGAAGCACTTTCCCTTGACCTTAGCCCAGGTCACCTTGTCCCCACCCCTCACTGGTGGTCTGAATGGGTGGTTTCTGTTGCCCTATCACCCTCCCACCTCCTTGCCTTATTCACGATGTTCCTCCACCAGAAGTTCCTGCCTTGGAAACCCCTCCCCATGGCCCTCCTGGCTCTCCCTCTGGGTGCCTACAGCCTCGGTCTGCCTCTTTCCCACAGTTCTGAGCACTGCCCACCATGCGGTATGTCCACTCATGTTCAAATACCATCATCTCTACCACACAGCGAGCTCACTGATGCCAGGAGGGGCATTGGACTTATGTTTCTATCCCTGCCAGCACCCACCTCAAATAAACCAGGAGGGAGCAACAAACACCACCCAGCTCTGATCCACATTATGGTCATCAGGGGGTGCATAGGAGAGGAACATGAAGAAGGGACACAGAATGGAGAGACTAAATAAGGAGAGAGATGTGGAAGCAAGCACCCTCCGGTGTTGAGCAGACACTGAGTCCTCACTGAGGGACAGTAGTCAGAAAACTAACAGAGCTCCTTCCCTCATTGGGCTTGCATTCTGGTGAGATCAGTCAGTGTTCAGGCAAATGGACAAGGTGATTTCAGGGGGTTTTGAAACTCTGTTAGGACAGGAGACAGGCTGACAAGTTAGAGAGAAAGTCTGAGCAGATTTACCAATCTGGGTAGAAGGGCTGTGAAGTGTGAATGATGAGAAGGGGGGGCCATGCTGAGAACAAAGCTCATAGCAAGTCAGGCAGCAAGCTGGTGAGGCTGGAGCCAGGGGAGGGCACTGGGTCCAGCCGGGACTGGACCACAGAGCACCTTGTATCCACCAAGCTGATGACTGTGAAGACAAACATCCCATGCTTGATAATAATGATGGTTACATGACCATTTAACCTAACACATACTGCATTTTCTCACACACTCTCTCTTTTTATTATTTTGACCTCTACAACTATGACAGTACACCTCCAGGCCCAGTGACCCATTCCCGCCAGGATTTGGATAGGGTTGCTATGTAGAGTGTTGTCTTCTGTAACAGCCTAGACTAAGACTCAAGGGGAAGGGAACACTGAGTAAATGATTAAGTCCCAGACATTTCACAGTTCTGTAAAACTAATAAACTGTGATGGTTTTCAGTGGTTTTCTTTTCTATCCTTAAAGGTTATGGTTTCATTACCATGGAGAACATTTACCAGTCCGAATCAGCTAGCCAGCCTGTCGTCTTCTCTTCATCTCTGTAAAAGCCTGTTCCACAAGTTCTTTGTGAACCCACTTTGTCGTGCTGCAGCTCCCCCAGTAGTGAGTTAAATAAAACTTGGACATGTGCTCACTATCTATTTTTATGATGTTTTTAACCTTTTCAGAATGATACTCAGAAGTTTGGATTCTAAGTGCATAGAAAACAGGAGCATGAGTAGAATTAATTTCTGTTTTACAAAGGACTCAGATTCTGGGTTTAGGTGTGCCCAGCTAGAATCCATGCCACCGTTCGGGGGAGAGACGATCAGGTGGCTGGAACGAGAGTGCCAGGCAGAGAGCTTGCCTGACTTCTAACATGTTCTGGGCTTTTGTTTTTCTTCCATTTCCATGCTGGATGGCGTGGGCTTCTCGATCCATTTTCTTTCCTAAAATGTGAGCTCTTTGGTAGGGACTTTGTCCACCTTTTATGTTTCCTTGGCATCTGATCCTGGGTACAAAGCAGTGCTGGGCAAACAACTGCTGAATGAGTTCTTCCCTTTGGATTTATCATATTTCAACATAGAAATGTTCATGGAATGGGGAGACCCCTGGGCAAAGCATTGGGGGCCTGTTCTCAGTGTGTTTTGAAGGGAAAATAGCTGGCAAATCTGGAAGACCAAAAGGTTGGTGGTTTGAACCCACCCACAGGTACCTCAGAATAAAGGCCTGGCAACCTGCTTTTGAAAGGTCACAGCCTTGAGACCCCCATGGAGCAGTTCTGCTCCACACATATGGGGTGACTGTGAGTTAGAATCGACTCAGTGACAACTGGTTTGGGGGCCTGGGGGTTAGTTTAGAGGGAGGAGAGTGGGATGGGATATCAAGGCTACACTTCATTGAATCCACAGTACAGGCCCACCATGGGAGATGTGAGATGCAGACGGTTTCCCAGGAGGAAAGATGTGTTTGTGTAAATGCACTGTTGGGCTCTTGCCCCTGAGGAAAGCAGTTTCTAATTTGGGCTTCTCTTTCTTTGTGTTGCTCCCCAGTGTGATAATGCAAAAGGCTTGAAAGCCTTCTACGATGCAATAAAATACGGACCGAACCATCTGATGGTGTTTGGAGGCGTCTGTCCATCTGTGACGTCCATTATTGCAGAGTCCCTCCAAGGCTGGAATCTGGTGCAGGTAAGGACCGACCACTTCCTGTTGGGAGAGGGTCTCTGATTGGCAGGAATGGCTCTCTAACATGGTTCTTATATTGACTGCTCAGGCCACGTGGGTTCTCCCCGATGTTTGCACGGTCTCCTGTTCCCCTCACCTCCAGGCTGTCCTCTCTGACCCGACTTTGCTTGGCCACCAGGTTGCTTTCTAAAAGGAAGCTTTGATTCCACCTGGTTTTTAAAGCCCTCAGTGGCCCACACTGACTCCCTAGCCCGACTTTCAGGGTCTTCAATATCTGGCCAACCTCCTGCTCAGTGCCATCTCCTGCCCTTGCTTCTTACTCCACACCATGGCCCCTCCAAGCATCCCACCTCTGCCCAGTGAATCCTGGGCCTTTGGGCCTCAGCACACCTCTCTTGCTGTTCCTGTACCCAGAATAAACCCCCCTTCTCCATTGAAATTCCTTTTGTCTGCTCTGACTGTCTCAGGTCCTTTCTTTGCAGTTAAGCCTTTCCTGGGGCTCCTGGACAATCAGGAAGCTTTGTATGCCCTGGAATGTTCCACCATGAGTGTAAGGTCTGGTGTAGGTGGTCTCACCGGTGTCAGCTGTTACTCAGGTTCAGAGAGAGGAGTGTAAAAAGATGTGGCTGCCGGGCTGAGCGGTGCTGCTTCTTTGCTTCATCCATCCGTGTCACATATTTACTGACAGCCTGGAAAATGTGCCTGGAATTTCTGTAGGCACTGGTGATGGAATGCTGGACAATTCAGACATGGTCCCTGCCCTTTCGGAGCTTCCATTCTAGTGGAGGGAGATAAGCAAGTAAACAATTAAGTAATAATACTAAGAACTAACCCTTGTATAATACTTATGCAGGTTTATGAGGTGCAAATCGTTGATGCACTCAGCTGCTAACTGGAAGGTTGATGCTTTTAAGGCCACTCGGAGACACTTCTGAAGAAAGGCCTGGTGAACTACTTCTGAAAACAAACAAAACATTGAAAATTCTATGGAGGACACACACGGTGTTTCCATGACTTGGAATCAGCTCATTAGCAACTGGCTAGGGATATCTATGGACCAGAGGAGCTCTGGTAGCGTAGTGGTTATGAATTGGGCTGTGAACCTTAAGGTCAGCAGTTCGAAACTACCAGATGTTTCGTGGAAGAAAGATAAGGCTTTCTGTTCCTGTAAAGATTTATAGCCTCAGAAACCCTGTACAGGGTCACTGTGAGTCGGTTCCGACTCCATGGCACATAACCACCACCACCATCTATGGACCAGAGCTGTTCTGAATACTTACATGCATTCACCCATTTAGTACTTATATTTGTTCTGTGCAGTGAGATCTTCTCTGATCCCATTTTATAGATAAAGCAGAAGCACAGAAAGGCTAAGTAACTTCCCTAAGGGCCCACAGCTAATAAGTAATAGAGGAAGATTCAAACTCAGGCCGTCTGGTGTCGGGGACCAGCCTCGACAGGGAAGCTTGGTTCACAAAGTAGGGAGATCTGGCGGCGAAAGAGATAGAGAAAGAATATACACAAAGACGCAACGAGAGAAACAAAGAAACACCCCGAAACCACAGTGGATGCAAAACTGGCAGGCAGACCCTGGATTGCAGGCATCATGGCCCTGCAGGCAGTAATGCATGCAGGTTTCTATCTGCGTCTGTCTTTTATTTCAGGGAGGGATTTTACACAAAGGAAGAAGGGGATTATTAAGACAGGGTACAGAAATGAAATGTGATTAATCGTTCAAAACAGGACACAATGATTTACAAGAACAAAGTCTAAAATAATACATCGCAAATTGTCTAAATAATCTAACATCCTTAATTTTCCAGAAATTCAAGCAAATTGTTATAAATTACTTTTTAGGCTCAAATCCTAAGGCAGCGACTCGAGGTTTCTCAAGGCTAATTAACATACTCATAGCACTTAATCTTGAATGGGTAAAAGTGAAAAAGGATTTAAAACGTCTGAAGAGAGTCAAGCTGTTTCAGCTACCTGGCTTAGGCTTTCAGGAGGAAGAAGGACCTCTAGGTTAATGGATTACACCTGGGGACGATTTGAGGAGGTTGTCACTATTATTCCTTGAACAATATTCCAGAATTCGCCAATCTACTTTGAGTGAATTCCTTGAGCGGATCGTCTCCAGAGCCTCTTTGTGGAACCTCAGCAAACCTGCCTTTGGAACTTTTACGGCCTCGGCTTTAGAAGAGGTTTTTGTTTTAATATTTGTCCATGGGTATCAAGGGCTCATGTATTAAGTTAATATCAAACATAACTGAATAATTTGATAAAGAACAGTTTGGACATGCTTGCCAGGTGGCCAGAGTGTGTTCCTCAGAGAGATTTGTTCCTAGGACCCTACGCACTGCCAACACAGTGGAGCCATTATGAGAGGCACATAAGAAACCATTTTCTCAGAAGCTACAATTACTGGAGTTAGAAGCATAGAATGAATAATAAGACCAAAGAAAATTATACAGAGGTAGCCAACCAGTGAGTTTGCAAAAACCAATGAACCCGGGACGTCAGGAGGTCACTTCCTTTGGCTCTCAGGGTCCCTGGATAGCCATCCTGAGTGGGGCCATCGTGTAGGATTTTCGTCCATGACACAGGGCCTCAACATCTCAGTGCTTTGTGGTCCCCAACAGTCTGGCCCTGTGTGAGGGCTATGACAGGCATTAGTGGGTGGTGGGATAGATAGTAGAATACAGGAAGGCTTCTTTGCGGAGGTGACATTGAGACCTGAAGGATGAGAAGGAGCCGGTGGCGTGAAGACCTTCCATGTGGGTGAATGGACAGCAAATGCCAGCAGCCTGTGATGGGAACAGACCTGGTGTGCTAAGGAACAGAAAAAAAGGTGGTGGGGTTGCAGTATGAAAGATGAGGAGTCGGGATGATAAGAACGAGAATGTAGCGGCAGGCAGGGGCCAGACCATGTGGGCATCTGTTTTCACTCATGTCAGCTGAAGACCTTCTCTAAGTCCAGTCCTGCATGCATGGGGTCCTGGGGAGGGACCACTATGCTCACCACTAATAGGGACGATGAGATCAAGCTATGGCAGAAATATGGGGTCCAGGAAGGCTTCCCAGCAGAGGTGAGGTTGCTGACAGAAGAGGAGAAGGGTATTGGGCAGCTGGAGTCGTGGAGGAGACTGGGCATGCAAGAGCAGGAGGTAGGGAAGCATGTGGGCTTAGGGAGCTGAATGTGGGCAGATGCAACTGGAGATGAGGCCAGGAAAGCAGCTCCGCATGCTACAGTGCAAACTGGTGTAGCTGGGAGCCACCTGCTCAGTGTGTGAGGAACTCTGGGTCAGCACACTGGCTTGAGCGTCCTCCTCCTGGACAGAGCCTCTCTGTCACTGGGCAGGCTGTCTACCTCTCTGAGATTGAGTTCCGAGCATGCGCTCGGGTGGGCGCGCACACGCGTAAGCTCCAGGTAACAATAGTACCCATTTCATACGGTTTCCTGTGGATTAGGAATCCCTGTGGTGCAGATGATTAAGGGCTCTGCTGCTACAGAAAGGTTCTAAGTTTGAGCCCACGCAGGGGCACTTTAGGAAAAAGACCAGATGATTGCCCTCTGAAAAATCTGCCCTTGAAAGCCCTTGGGAGCACAGTTCTACCCTGACACACATGATGTCACCATGAGTCAGACTTGAGCTGATGGCAACAGGCTGGTTTTTGACTAGAACTGGGCCCGGCACATATGTTGTTGTTAGGTGCCATTGAGTTGGTACCGACTCATAGTGACCCTGTGCACAACAGAATGAAACACTGCCCAATCCTGGGCCAACCTTGGCACATATAAGCACTATGGATTCCTTGTGTTGTTCCCTCCTGCCTCCCGTTCCTCCCCTTGTATAGCCCAACTCTTTAGCATTCCTGGTTTCTCCCATGTTCTTGCACCTGAAACACTTCTCCTCCCTGTCTCTAGTTCATCAAGCCCAAACCATCCTTAGACACCAACTGAAATGCTACCTCCTCCAGGAAGCCTTTCCTGATGGCACTATCTCTTCATGATATACTCCTGTTTATTTCTAGCAGAGAATTCACATGGTTGTACCCATGTGGGCTATGGAAACTTGAGGACAGAACCCAGGCTCGAGATTCTTCACAGACTTTATTAAGTATTTGCTGAATGGTCACGGAGAGAGGGAAGAAGGGATCTGTGGATGGATGTTTTGCCCAGACATGGTAGGAGGTGACAAGACAGAACTGAGCTGGGAGATGGACACTGTGTTCGTAACAAATCATCCCAACATGTAGTGGGTTACAACAGCAATAATCATTACTATCTCATGATTTCTCTGAGACAGGGCATGGTGGTAGTGACTTGTATCTGCTCCATGATGTCTGGGGCCCAGCTGGCTGTGGGCTGGAATCGTCTGAAGGTTTGACTGGGGCTGGAGGACATGCTTCCACGGCGGCTCACTCGTGTGACTGGAAAGTTGGTTCTTCTCCATGCAGGCCTCTCTCTATGGCTGCTGAGTGTCCTCGTAGCTTGGCCAGTGGCTTTCCCAAAAGTTGAAGTGATCCCAAACATCAAGCCAGAGGTGATAATGTCATTTAGCCATAGAAGTCATATACCCTCTTCTGTGTCATAGTCTGTTGGCCATGCAAATTAACTGTTTGGTGTGGGAGAGGATTGTACAAGGACACAGCAGGAGGTGGAGGTCACTTGGGGCCACTGTCTTGGAGGCTGTCCACCACAGTGTGACTCATGTCTGTGAGGAAGGCAGAAGCTAAGGTGACCAACAAAGGGAACTCCTGTTCAGCCTTCAAAACCCTGCATAGGTGCTCTCTTCCCTGATGTCTCCCTTTACCTTCTCCCTTCTGAGTGCCCCAATCTCCTTCTGCATCATAAATCTCAATGAGGGTGATCATCAACCCCAAGGGGGTGAAAACTGGTTCTTCACCAAGGCAGGGAGTAGAGCTTACTCTTTGTATGTGTATATACTCATATACACAATTGTATGTAAGCACATAAAATACAGTACATAAACATATATATA